GTATCTCTAAATGACAACAACTGCCGCCATTACAAGAACCTGACCACCAAGAACACCAAGTATAATCAAATCTAACACTTTTCTCACACGAGGCTGGTGTCATTTATTTATAGCTAACATTAACATCACCAAAACATCGAACATCACAAATATGTCAAAAGTTAGCATCAACCTATCTATTGAATTCATTTTTTTTTCTTCGGATGATGACGTGGACATTATAAAATCAAATTGATACAGCCAAGTTTGACATTTAAATTTAGACTTGTAGGCTAATTGAAATTTAAACTTCTGCCTAAAATAGTCTTCTATCTATATGCAAGTACAAACACCATCTAAACACGGATTGCTTAAGTTGTCAAACGTCGACCTGGTTGAGAGAAGCAAAGCTGTAGAGCCACCCCGAGAACCTGATCATAAACGTATCAAAATAGAAAGTCGTTGAAATGAGTTGTTTATGTCCAGTTATCAAGTGGTAGGGTAGAGACGGGCACCTGAATGCAGCACAACGTCAACTAGGTTACGTGTCGGAGCAGTAGAGATAAGAGCTCCACCTGCCCGGGACACACCTCGTGGCTGCTCTATGGTCCTGCGATACCCAGCTATTTCTCAAACGGCAATGCATTGAAACAAACTAATAGTAAAGCCTTAAAGATCAATTCAGAACGAATAAAACTAAAACAGGGCAAGTGTTACCAGAAAGTAATCTCGTCGTCCTAGCAAAAAGAGCTTTTTTAACAAAAAAAAATCCTAATCACTGAGCCCCACCCTATGGCCCCAACAACAACAAAAATCCAACAACTATTAACGAAGCTTAAAAAAAAACTTAAAAAGTTGGCATGTTTAGTCTTGTAATTCCTCTCAATCAGATTTGTTAACTGTGTGTATATTCTTCACTCCCTGTGAATTTTGTTTTCCCGATTCTCGAACCCTTCAAAAGTAACAATGCATTTGCAAAATTACAAGAAGAAAAAAGTGGACTTCCACCAATTTCAAATTGGATCACAAAGAGAAATAGCGTAACTTATAAAATAAGATTGTGACTACAAGTTTGAAGTTATGAAGTAAAACGTTAATGAAGAATTATGTTTATATATATATATATATATATATATATATATATATATATATATATATATATATATATATATATATATATATATATATATATATATAT